GGAAGATATGCCTTTGATGAGGGCTCTGATCTAAGTTTCTCTCTCTCCTAAAGGCGCAATCACAACCACATATGGCAAATACTGATGTATGCGCGCAGAGTTTTCTACAAGATCGACACAACCAACCCTCTGAACCCCGAATCTGCTGTGCTGTAAGTTCTTTTTATTTTATTTTATTTATTTATTGGAATTGGTCAAACAAAAATGAGAACAAGAAGAAGAGAATAAAAATACAATGAGAGGCACGTTAGTGCACTTATTCTGAAAGAACAAAGTTCTTTTTATTTGTGGAGAGGGGGGACATGAGAACCTTCTCGGAAAGTTGCAGTCCATAATATACTATTTTTGAGTATGATTTTTTTTTCTTATTATATTTACATGTCTCAGGCCAAGGGACAGTGCCTTCCCTCTTTGCTTCAGTTCCAAAATTACTTTCATTAATCCGTTCTAGGAATTCTAGAAGGGGTTAACTCCCTTCTACATAAACTATGGGTAGTCCTCAACTTACAGCTACCGTATTTTTCGGAGTATAAGACGCACCTTTTCCCCCCAAAAAAGAGGGTGAAAATCTGGGTGTGTCTTATACTCCAAATGTAGCCCCACCCAGCTTCTCAAACGGAGGTTTCAGAGGCTGAAAAAAGCATCAGAATCAAGCTTCAGGAAAAAAAGCCTCCAAACAGAGCTTCCAAAAAAAAAAAAAAAAAAGCCTCCAAACAGAGCTTCAGAAAAAAAGCCTCAGAAACAGCTTCAGAGGCTTTTTGTCTGAAGCTCTGTTTTGGAGGCTTTCAGAGTCAGAAAAAAAAGCAAGGCGCAGAGCTCACAACCAAGGAACCTGTTGCTAAAATTCACCTCTGGGAACAGCTGATTGGGGGTATTCTGGGAGGCCGATCCACCCGCCAAGCAGCTTTTTTCTTATTTTCCTCCCCAAAAACTAAGGTGCGTCTTATACTCTGAAAAATACGGTATTCATTTAGTGACCAAAGTTATAATGGTAAAATGCGCAATAAATCTACTTATGTTTGTTTCAAGGCATTTCATAGAATGCTTCCGTTCTTTTCCAGGGGAGTTCTAAGATGCATTCTCTTTCTCTTCTTAGGTATGAAAAAGATATTCAACTCTTCAAGAGTAAAGTGGTTGACAGCGTAAAATTATGCAGCAGTCACTTATTTGATCCCCCCAAAATTGAAGACCCCCATGCAATTAGGTAACCTTAATACAGTTATCAAGTCATATCCTATAGTTTGGACCAACTAGAGATAATTCTGATTTAGCAACAGCCTCAGTGACTCTTCAGCTACGATGGGTGATGAAAAAGGATAGATCTAGTGATCTGTCCTTGCATTTATGACCTCCACAGATCTGTAAAGCAGTGGAAGCTGAACTATGGTTCTAAGCACAGTTAAGGCTTCACATAGCGACCACTTCACTCAATGGCCAAGTCACTAGTTCCGTTTTTGCCGCTAAATGAGAACTACCTGTATTTCTCTTAATCATATGTAGATTTAGGCTCTCTAAAGTGTTTACAAGTCCATGCAAACTGGACGATTTTACAATCAATTACATTCATAGACGTCCTGTGTGGAAAAAAAAATACAATTTCCCCGAAAATAAGACCTCCCCGGATAATAAGCCCAATTGAGCTTTTGAGCGCATGCACTAAAATAAGCCCTCCCCGAAAATAAGGCCAAGCGCTTATTTCGAGATTCAAAAAAATATAAGACAGGGTCTTATTTTGGGGGAAACACGGTATTTCATTGCAAGTTTTTGAAATTCTTAGGACACTGTAAACATCCAGTAGACGTGCTTAGGACAGTGTGTTATTAACTTTCATATTCTACCTCTGTTGGCTATTGTACTTCCATTAAAAAGATCATCTGTCTTTAGCTTTGGAAACTTTGAAGCCCTGGTGACATTTTGCTTGCATCTTGCAGCTTTTCTCCCTGGAATCCAGCTATACACAATGAAGTAAGAGAGAAGATGTTGACTCAGAAGGTACGGAGGAAGCATCGGTCTTATTTTATAGAACTTGTAAAAAATTAACGGGGAGAAATAAGTCCTGTCGCATTGAAGGAAACTGAGGCAAGCTCTTTATGATGAAAGTTATCAAGCAGAAAGTCCCTTGTGTAGCCTTGTTGTGAGACAAGAGAGAAGATTGTTCTGTATGGGGGTTGTGCATCTTTAAACAGGCTAGAAAGCACATGGCTGCACATCGCTGAAACCAAGGGTGTCCAACTTCAAGACTTGTGGACTTCAACTCCCAGAATTCCAATGCTGGCTGAGGGAATTCTGGGAATTGAAGTCCACACGTCTTAAAAATTGCCAAGGTTGGACACCCCTGGTTTAAACTATATTTTCACACTGAAGTTACAGAGAGGTTAAGAGTATCCTGACTAGCTGGCTCAGTGGCTAAGACACAGAGAGCTTGTCGATCAGAAAGGTCGGTGATTCGAATCCCTAGTACAGGTCTCCTGCATGAGCAAGGGGTTGGACTAAATGACCTCCGAGGTCCCTTTCCAACTCTGTTACTGTTACCGGTATCAAACTCTTTTAGGACCAGCTGCATTGTGGATTACTCAGCTGAGCAAGGGGGGATTGGTGAGAAAGGAGTCTTGCCGAAGGCAACAAAAATGACTTGAGTTTGCAACAAAAGATGCTTTTTTTTCTTCATTTCTTCCTAGAAGAAAGGAGATGACCAACAATGCAAGAACACGCAAGTCTCCGGCCTGTCGTGGGTCAAACCGGGCTCCGTTCAACCTTTCAGCAAAGAAGACAAGACCCTTCCCACCTAGCTGCCCGAAAAGGACGATAAACACTCCACCCTTTTGACTGGAAGGAAGAACGTAAACAGAGCCCAACAGCGAAAACTGTGGTTCTCCTTCTTGACTTTGGATTAGTAAAGAGTAAATGCTAGCAAATGACTTAAAAAGTAATCCTGTTTTCAGCGGGGTTGCTCGGACTCGTCTTGATGTTTTTACGTTGGGTTTTAATTGCAGCCTGCAAGTAGGTCTTATTAAAACAAAAGAGGCCGAGCTTCTGTACGGGAAGTCGGTCCTGCGTGGGTAACGAATGGCTCAGGAGTCAAATGTAGCTCAAAGTTTTCGGTGGGTTCCTTTTTAAAGCTTTTTTTTTTTTTTTTAATGTAAAGAGCAGGCCGGAAAAAACTCATTCCAGAGATAATCTGTGTTTGTGTAAACTAATATAGCAGAGTAAAATACTATATTTAAAAACTTTTAAATGCATTGGTTTCTATTGTAAATATTATTAGGATATGGAATTTGTAAATACTTGGTTCCAATTCCTTCTAGCCCTTTTAAGGGCAGAAAGGCCGAGATTGATTTATGTATGATGTGTACCTATTTTTTTTTCCCTTCCTTTTCTCCTTTACAGATGTTGCCACTACTGGCTGCTTCTAACATAACTTGTCCCATAATCTTTAGGGCCACAACCGAATTGCCTGCAAGAATCATATAGGAGGAAAGATTTTACTGCAAAAAGGGGCTTAGGTAGAGAACTCTTCCATTGTGATAGTTGCATGCATCTTAACTCAAATTAACCTTTAAGATGTGTCAAAGTAATATTAGAGGCAGCCTTAAATAGTACATTAGTCAGGAAAGGTGGGGGGGAGGGGTTTAAATGAAAAAAAATCAGAATCCTTTAGAGGTCTTGGTTTTAATAAAAATCTTAAAGGGAACCTAGCATAGGTTGACTTAGGAATCATGCTTGAGATGGTTTGACTAATGTGTTACTAGTAACATCTTAAAAAAAATAAAATAAAGACCAATCATGGCAGAAAGTCCACGTTGTGGTTGTTTTCTTTGGATAAAATATTTGCAAATTTTAAGGACGAGTTCTTTGGAATTCTGATTTGCCGACTATAGTGAAACCTCAAGTTAACAGGCCATTTAATGGAAAAGGGCTTCTATTACGCCCCCAAATCTGTTAAATCAGGAAATAACGTCATTTGTATAATGGTATCGATAGGTAAATTTAAGCACACCTTCACTACTTTGGATGCGGGAGAATTGCCTCAGATGATGACTGGATGGAAATTTTGAATCCAGTCTATTAAATGAGGGAAGAATTTTACAGGGTTTAACTGGCTTAATCTATGGGACACATAATTGTTCCCTCCCCCCTTTTGAGAAGCTATGATGGCAAGTAGCACAGCTGCTGACAGTGCCTGATGAAAGGCTAAATTAGCAGTGTTTTGTTATGTTTTTACATAACAAAACACTTTTTGGGTTTTGTTCCTTTATAAAATGTACGAATCACATGAACGGGCTAAACCTACATGCACCAAAACTTGCCCTGTTTCATGACCACATCCCTGCATTCGATTTATGTCCAGTCGATCATTTCATAAAGCTAAAATCCCTCTTCCAATGCCTATCTTTAGATCCCCTTGGAGCAATTTTAAGAGCAGCACAGATCTTGTTGCAAATGCAATCCAGGGCAAAATATTGGCAATATTGAGTGTGATCGTATTAGTCTTCAAAGTGATCATTCAATTGCCCGAACACCATTGTTAACTTTTCTATAGACTCAATTTGATCCTTTATGGGGGGAAAAAATGGAATTTTTTTGCATGTATTAGAAACCACATGAAAGCCGCAGTCCAGTGGTGGAGCACATATTCTTATGCATACACAGAGTGTTAGGTTTAATCCATGGCATCCCTAAAAAAAAGCTAGGAAACGGTCGTATTGCATGCTACTGAGCCACTGTGATCACAAGTAGGCTAGATGGTGGCCTGTTCAGTTTCTTCTTCTACATCATTCTTCCTGACCTCCATTTAAAGCAGTTAAACATTGCAACAGACCAAACAGCTACCACGATAATCCAGGATGGCCAATGTTTTCCTCATTTCGAAAAAGAACCCCCCCCAACCAACTGCTCCGATAAAGCTAAGAAACAGGGAAGGCTAACAGACCTATCTTAAAATATTCATACGTGAGAGTTCAGTAGGACTTCTGTGTGCTTCCAGAATAAATACAATTCAAGCAGTTTTACACAGCTTTTCATTTTAGGGTTTGCTATTTAAAATATATATATATATATATATATATTTATATATATTTTTCAAAAGTGCCATTGCCAAGGTTGCAAAACTAATTTGCATTTAAGAACTAGTGAAGTGCTACCTGCTGATAGGAGCTGACTGGAAACATTGCACAGCTAAAATACAATGAAATTGTGGTATATATACATAATATCCCCATATCACCTGAAGGGCAAAGAAGACAAGGAGAGGAGAAGAAAAGGAGAGAAGAGAAAGGAGAGAAGAGAAGGAGGGGAGGAAGGGTTTAAGTCCTCCTCTCCTCCCCTCCGTTTCAATTTCTGGTCAGTCTCCAGTGTGCTTTTTAACTACTGCCTGACAAACATTCTAGAATCTTCACTCCTAATTTAAAAAGAAGGTTCACAGCAGTTCTGAACTGGGTCAGATAATTAGTCACAGAGCTGATTCCATCACTGCTGACTTCCACATTTCGAAATGCGATTAAAATACTGCAGATTCTAAACATGACACTGGATGAGATCCAGTTAGCTTAAAAAAAGAAAGAAAGAAAAAAAGAAATGTTAATGGGCTAATGTAAAAATACTTTGTCTTTCCAGTTTTGAGATTAAAACCAATCCCTTCTACCGAATAAATTAAAAAAAAAAAAAAGGATGTAAACTGGATCGATCAACGCTTGATGGGAGACATCCAAACACAGCTGGTGTGACTTGCAGGGCGACAGAGGAAATAATGCTTCTTCTCAAACTTTCTGATTGTCTTTGAGCAGAAGATGTCCGTGGTAATGTCAGGAGCATCACGCTCACGGAGGTTAAAAAAAGGGAACTGCCCCCAAAGTGCCTTGGAGATGTGGAAGTCACAGCTTCTATTATTACTGGTCAAATGTTTTAAAAAAGCCCAGATAGTGATAAAAAATATATATGTATCAATCCTCAGTCAGTCTTTGACATCAGTGAGAGCCTCGGTCGTTGGCCACATCTTGCAACCTTCTCAAAAGGGCGGTGTGGTTTTCCGGACACATGCGCTTGGCTGGTGATTCGGCCCCCTCCTCTAAGACAATGCCCCTCTTTTTCGTCGAGGTCTCGCCCGTTCTAATCATGCTGTTAATCTCTTCAAGTCTCTGAAATGTGCAACGAGCAAGAAAGACTGGTCATTTTTTTCTCCCTCCCCTGAAAATCCAGCTGCAAAGATTAATCTCTACATCGCTCGTTTAAACCCACTGACATCGTGTTCAACTTCTTGTAATCCCCTTAAGCAACATGGCTGAGGTTGCTTCAGTCCCCTGCTCCGTAAATTAATATTTCAAGATTACATCTCAAATCCCTACAGTTCAAACAATAGCTTTTTTTTGGGTCTCAATCATTGGTCTCATTTTTAAAGAGGTTCCAATCAACATTCTTCCTAACAAATACAGCTTTGGAAAAACATTAAATACTTGAATAATACGACTGAGAAATAAAACTTTGCATTTTATCTTCCAAATCAATCTTTCTTTCTTTCTTTCTTTTTCTCTTTTTCTTTCTTTCTTTTTCTCTCCCCCCCCTTTCTCCGCCATATAAATAATGACATTCATTGGCAAATCTAGTCAGCCATGAATATTTATAGAAAAAAGATATACAGCTTGCTAAAGCATGTAGTTATTGATTAACTAAAATGACATAAGATTTCAAAATACTTAATGGACAACAGCACCACGGAGTGACCAAACAGCAGCTCTTACCTTTGATGGGCTGCTACTGAAATAGTAGAATATTTTCTCACGCCGAGAGACTGCACACTCATTTTTGTGGGGAGAAATATAAATTGGGTGGTTTTGAGACAGTTGGACTCTGCGTGGAGAGCCGCTTCTCACAAACGGATATGGAGATAAGGGAGGAACATCAGTCTGATGCAAAAGAGTGATAAAATGCATATACAGTTAACAAGCAAGCACACAAAAAAAAGAGAATGAAATGCATTTGGCAACTTAAAGCACCACAACACATCCACTGGATTTTTTTTTTTACATTCCTGGTCCTGAGCAATTTAGAAATTCTGTATGAGAATTGTGACAAGTTTTCAGAATTACCAGCTTTTAAAATTTAGCCTACAGAATACAAGAATCCCATGTCAAATACAAGATGGTTCCATTTTGTTGTAAGGCAGAGATGCTTTTATTCATTTTAAGAGATTTATTTGCAATGGACTTAGGTTCTTACTATTTCCAGTTTCTGCCCAGATATTTCCAGTTTCTGCCCAGATCACGTCAATATCCACGCACACACCCAAAAATAGATTGGGATTTTTTTTTTTTAAAAAAAAAGTAAAATATTGTAATGGCAGGACAACCTGAGTAACTCCAGTTGTTAATCAGACAAATAGTAGCTTACCTATTCTGAAGAAGGAAGGGGGAGAAAAGGGTTACTTACTCCGTTGGCTGAGGAGTACTTTAGGGCGAAGTCTTTAATTCGGTCTGTGTAGACATTATTATAAAACTGAATCAGGTCTCCACGTTCCTCCTCTTCAGTGTCGCTGCTGGCTCCGGTCAGTCGTGTTGGTGTTGGAGGAGCGCTACTAGGCTGCGGAACAGGCAGGGTGCTACTCGACCTCATGACTGGGCTGGAATCTCGGCTTGCTGCAAAAACAGATTGCGATTCACTGGATCGGATAGTTTTATGAAACCACTGGCTATTTTGGCCTTTTTTTTCTTTTCTTTTTTTTTGTCGTCAGGGTTCCAAGTAATGCACCCATAACAATCAGAATTCAGAGGCAGGTAGATTCCTCAAAGAACACTTTTATTGGATCTATCATATTGGCACAGACTCTAAAGGTTCCCGTGGTTTTCAACTAATTAAAAGTTTTCCCCTTTTCCCAAACAGTCACATGGTCCAATCAGGGTGCTGTTCAATGGCTTGGTAACATCACTCCTCCTCCCTTCAGCCACCTGTTGAAATGTCCTCAGTTCCCAGGGGAAAGTATTTTGTTTTGGCTACAAACCCCCAGCGCTCTCCAATTGTCGATCGAAAGGTCGGCAGTTCAGCGGTTCGAATCCCTAGTGCCGCATAACGGGGTGAGCTCCCGTTCCTTGTCCTAGCTTCTGCCAACCTAGCAGTTCGAAAGCCCGTAAAAAATGCAAGTAGAAAAACAGGGATCACCTTTGGTGGGAAGGCAACAGTGTTCCGTGAGCCTTTGGCGTTGAGTCATGCCGGCCACATGACCACGGAGATGGCTTTGGACAGCGCTGGCTCTTCAGTTTTGAAACAGAGATGAGCACCGCCCCCTAGAGTCGGGAATGACTAGCACAGATGTGCGAGGGGAACCTTTACCTTTTAACCCTCATCACTGTTGTGGCAACACTGAAGCCTCAAAGATGGCCTCAGTCAGGGCAACTTCAGAGTTGACTCTAGTAGTAAAGGCACCAAGCTAGAAAGCGGGAGACCTTTCTAATTTTAGTCTTCTACTTACTACATTCACTTACTTCGGTCCTTATTTTTCTCCACGGGGGAATTCTGAGGATTGTTTGCGTCGCTGGTGCCAGAATTCCTTCGTTTTCTGCCTTTAATCAATACACTGCGGTACACCTTAAAAAAGGCAAAATTATTTCAGAAGGGAAAATGGCCTTGCTGAATAAAAATATGAGCTTTCAGTGAGAGAGTTATTCTTCTGATACTTTTCAAAGACAACATCAAGCCCAGCTAGATGGAACTCTTGCAAGTATAAGCGGCACGAATCTGAGATGCAGAGGGAAGCATTTCTGTATGCATTTCATGATAGTTTTATAGAAGGCCCTTTTTTCACTAGGTAGGATATGACCTTCTTTAATAAAATTGGGTGCTAATCTTGAAGACTATGCCAATATCTGGAATTTCCCCCTTAAGGTTGAACTAAAACTGATGATTGAAGAAAATGAACTCAATAAAACAACTGAATGTAGCATTGAATGCAGGAACAAGAGTGGTGCGGTGGCCTAGAGGTGGGGCTCTCGCTTCACAATCAGGAGGCTGTGAGTTCGATCTCAGGTAAAGGCAGATATTTTCTGTCTCTGGGCACATTAAGAATAATATCTGCTGAACAAAACTCCTCATTGGTGACAGGAAGGGCATCCGGCCAGTAAACACTAGGCTCCATTCAGTTGCCCAGACTCCACCCCGCAAAGGATTATGGGGTCATTAAAAGAAGACGATTGAATACAGGAACAAAGAAAATGTTCTCACGTGGCTTTTGGCCTGGGGCTGCATCCTATAGCAGCGCATGATGTTCTGAAACGAAGTGTCTTCTTTGGTAACCTGGAATGGAAGGTATCCGTTAGCGGACAAATATTAGCACTTTTATTTAGCGCTAGGTATTTTTTTTTATCTTCCAAGTTAAATTGGTGAAACTTTACCTTTGCAATTACATAAACAGCACACATTAACAGCTGATCGAGATGTCGGTCCATCATGAGCTCCGAGCATTGTACCAGTGAAAATTCGAAACAGGTCCAGATTTTCTTCCTCAGCTCGTCGGAAATATCCAGCCTGATACAGATATCCCTCAGACGAACGCTTGCTAAATAAAATACCTGTTGAAGCCAGAAAATACTATCAGAGCTAGAAGACATACGATTTTTTTTCTTTTTCCAGAGAATGACATTTTTTCGCATCTGGATGAAAAATTATGAAAATGCTTCACGGGATTACAGCGTTCGGGAAAAGACAGGGAGAGGAGTTTTCTTTGCAAAACATGCCATATTCTTTGATTTATTTGCATCAATGGAAGAGAATATTTTTGGCTCAGGATTGAACTGTGGGATCCTTGGTGCTCTCTGAGCTTGTTTTCTTGCAGACGTTTCATTACCAAGCTAGGTAATATCATCAATGGTAGCATGGAATGAGGTTTGCTCTTTTCATATGTTAGTGGCTTGCTCTGTCAATGTTGGTGGGAATGGTCTTGGTAGTTCCTTGTTTGGGTTTACGATATTTATTTTTATATATTATTTTAGTACCTCACCTTTATTATTTTTTATAAATAACTCAAGGAGGCAAACATACCTGATACTCTTTCCTTCTCCTCCTCTTTTCCCCACAACAATCACTCTGTGAGATGGGTTGGGCCGAGAGAGTGACTAGCCCAATGTCACCTAGCTGGTTTTCATGCCTAAGGCAGGACTAGAACTCACAAGTCTCCTGGTGATTGGACCAAAGTCACCCAGCTGGCTTTCCTGACTAAGACGGAGCTAGAACTCCCTGTCTCCTGGTTTCTAGGCCAGCACCTTAACCACTACAGCAAAGTGTCTCTTTTCCAAGGTCGATGTACCTTTCTAAAGAAGAGAGTGAGTGAGCCAGCTTTTCGGGATCTGTTGCCACCGCTACTGATCTGCTGCTTTTGTCGTCGTTCTCCAGGATGGGCCACCTGTTGGAGCTGGCCTTGCAACTGAAGGGTTGGACCAGTCATCTGCTGAGAACTCAGCGTGCCAGCAAGGGTCTGCGCACTGAGAGGCGGGATGGGACTAGACAATGATTGAGTCTGTCCACTAACGTTGACTTGGACCGGAATGAATGTTATGCCCCCATTTTCATTGGCAATGCCTGTCAAAGGAAGTGGAAAAAAATATATATATCTATATCTATATATATCTAAATAAATATATATATATATTTATTTATTTATTTATTTATTTATTTATTATATATATATAATCCTAAGGTAAAGGTAAAGGTTCCCCCTGGCACATATGTGCTAGTCGTTCCCGACTCTAGGGGGCGGTGCTCATCTCCGTTTCAAAGCCGAAGAGCCAGCGCTGTCCGAAGACGTTTCCATGGTCATGTGGCCGGCATGACTCAACGTCAAAGGCGCACGCAACGCTGTTACCTTTTCTACTTGCATTTTTTAGGTGCTTTCGAACTGCTAGGTTGGCAGAAGCTGGGACAAGTCACGGGAGCTCACCCCGTTACGCGGCACTAGGGATTTGAACCGCTAAACTGCCGACCTTTCGATTGACAAACTCAGTGTTTTAGCCACTGAGCCACCGCGTCCATTATAGAATCCTACCGCCAAGGAATAGATTAGGCGATTGGTACTTTCCCCCCTTTGAACAGGAAAGCCCACCGCCCCCCCAAATTATTTCAAGTTGGAAAACTAGCTGGAAGACCCCTCGCGTTCTAGATATAAACTGTTTCAACCTCCCCCTCAGGATGCCGCTATAGAGCACTGCATGCCAAAAAATAACCAGACAGTTTTTTCTCGTGCCATCATTCTGCTGAATATCTAATCCCCTCAGCACTGTTTTAGATCTAAGGATATTTACCCATGTAGTAGGGCTGTCTCGCTACCGTCCTTCTCATTTTCCTACCCCTTCTCCTAATGGTATCTTATGATTATATTACTTGTTGTTTGTATGTACACTGAGAGTTTAAGCACCGGAGACAAATTCCTTGTGTGTCCAATCACACTTGGCCAACAAAGAATAGACTACATTCTCGATGTCAACGTGGTCCTTCCTTAGCCGCCAGCCGTACCACGGTTTAAGGAAGCATTATTTCTCACCCGTGCGTTGATCCACCTCACCTTGTACAGGTATGGTAACTGTCTGTCCGTTATTTGCAGTCACTGTGGCGGTTGCCACGGTTACCAAAGTCTGTCCAGGCACCGGCGTGACAGGGATGGTATCGGAGGAGACGCTCTGTACAGGCATGGTGCTGATCACAGGCGGCTGAGGGACCCTCACGGGTGTCCGAGGGGCCTCCCCGGAGGTGTCGTTATCAACAAACAGCCTTCTTCTGGTAGGGTTGGTGGTTGGAGAGCTGTACCGTTCGTAGAGGGTGGCTGGAGAAAACGAAATGCCTACAGAGATCACAAAGGGAAGGGTGGGGGGGGGGGGAAGAAAAGCAGACATGAAAAAACCTGGGTAAAGAAACTAAGGGCAATCTCAAAGGACTTGTATCGGTCTAAATCACTGAGCTCTTTTAGACATGCTGGAAGTTCAAGAAGAAGAGCAGAGCAAGGGTGTGACAGTTCACGATTTGAAAGAGCTTGAACCTCATCTCTGGGCCTTACACTGGATTCCTATCAGATAGGAAGATTAAGGAAAGAGTAGTGCGGTGGCCTAGAGGTGGAGCTCTCACCTCACACTCAGGAGGCTGTGAGTTCGATCTTAGGTAGAGGCAGATATTTCTCTCTCTGGGGACAATGAGAATATATCTGCTGAATATAGCTCCGCATTGGCGACAGGAAGGGCATCTGGGCAGTAAACCCTCAGCTCCATTCAGTTGCCCGGGGTCATTAAATGATGATGATGATGATGATAGGAAGATTAAGGAAAGGAAGGATACATGGACGGGTCACCGAAGGGAGACAGTAAATGCGAATAGCTTCCTGAGACTTATGGCCACTTTCTAACTTAGCTCAGATGCCACAACAACAAAAAGAAGTGGGTTTTTTTTTGTTACAGGTAAGACTTCACTGAACAGCCACTCGTTTTACAACTGTTCAAATTTACAATGACTATGGAACATCAACTTTATGGCTCATAAAAGCACTCCCAGACATCATAAATTGACACACGCACACACACTGTGTCCCATAACCACATGTCCAGCAGGTCAGTTTATGATCTATTGTGGCATTCTGCAGATCTATGACTGCAAATGTCTTTCTGCTGATTTCTGGCAAAAAAAAAATCCATTCAAATGAATGGGTTAGCTTAAGAACCACTCTGAAAAAAAGATGAAATATTACTTCTGGTCATGTGGGTGCCTCAATTTACAACTGTAACGACTTACAACTGTAATCCTGGGCTCAATTATGGTGGCAAGTCAAGGACTACCTGCATTAATAAATGTATATTTTCTCAAAACTGGAGAAATTTTAAGTATAAGCTTGTTATCTTCCTCTAAATTTGGAAAGGCTTACCCTTTCCCTGAGTTCCAGTTTCAGCACGAACTTCATTTAATCTTCTTGGAGTTAAAGGGGAACCAGGCACGCTGTTCCCATTTGATCTTTCAAAATACTGAGGTGGCATCACCTAAAAGCACAAAATATTTCATCACGGTATTATAGGTATTTAGGCACCTAAGAATTCCCATTGCTCCAAGTCTTTTGGACATTTCTAGTAAAAGTTTTTGTACAAGTCACAAAGGAGCAAGAGGTCTTTTACCTCTTCGCAGGTAGGAACCTTATTTTCATTTTCTTTTATTTTATCCCAGAGTGGAGATTCCGGTTTCCATGCCAGGCTCTCTAAAATCTGTTCCTCAATGTGGTTGAGGTGCTTCACCACCTCTCTGCAAAGGCCATCTTCTGCTCTGATCAGGATCTCGATCACCTGCAATATATCAAATCAAGTCTTTATTATGGACAAGGATCAGCAATAAGGATGAGTGGTGCAGTGGCCTAGAGGTAGAGCTCTCGCCGCACAATCTCTATTTTTCTACTTGCATTTTTTACCTGCTTTCAAACTGCTAGGTTGGCAGAAGCTGGGACAAGTACGGGAGCTCACCCTGTTACGCGGCGCTAGGGATTCGAACCGCTGAACTGCCAACCCTTTTGATCGACAAGCTCAGTGTCTTAGCCATTTAGCCACTGAGCCACCGCGTCCCCCCAGTTGTTCTCTTATCTGGTGCCAATTTTCCTTGACTGTTAGTAGATCAGGTAGCATGTCTATAGGTAGCATGGAATAAACTCGTAGTAGTTTTCAATTCCATCCCGGCTTTTGATTTCTTGCGCCTGACACATGCTCCTCTACTATTGTTTCCATTGCTTGTGCCTTTAACAGCAATTACATTAATTTGTTGCAGCACTCCACGCAAAGGATTTACCTTATAAAAGTGGAAGGCAGGAACATCAAAAACATCCGTGATGAACGGGAAACTATCTGCAGTCTTGTAGGAGTAAATAATTATTTCAAGGCAGCAGGCCATGAGAGACTTATGAAAGACATCGTGCTCCAGGATGGCCTAGAATTAAAAAAAAAAAAGAGAGAGAGAAGGCAGGTCAATACAAAAATCAAATATTTGTTGATCGCTAACATTATTATGTGCCTAAATTGCCAAGCATAGGTAGATTGTTTTAAATGCACCTGCAATGCTATCTGTCTGTTAAGAAACGTATACAAAGCAGATTTAAGTGGAAGGGGACACTAAAGAAGCTTAATAAAACATCCTGATTACATATTAGGTAAAGGTTCCCCTGGCACATATGTGGTAGTCGTTCCCGATTCTAGGGGGCGGTGCTCATCTCAGTTTCAAAGCCGAAGAGCCAGTGCTGTCCGAAGACGTCTCCGTGGTCATGTGGCCGGCATGACTAAATGCCAAAGGCGCATGGAATGCTGTTCCCTTCCCACCAAAGGTGGTTCCTATTTTTCTACTTGCATTTTTTACCTGCTTTCGAACCGCTAGGTTGGCAGAAGCTGAGAAAAGTAACGGGAGCTCACCCCGTTATGCGGCACTAGGGATTCTAACCTCTGAACTGCCAACCTTTCGATCGACAAGCTCAGCATCTTAGCCATTGAGCCATATTGGGGTGTCCTAAACCTTGTGATGATCAGGGTGAATCTTTTCTAACTTCTTTCCCTAAGAAGACTCTCTTACCCTCATCTCTCATTGCAGTTGGTTAAATCATGGTGGCCCTGCTAACATTATATCCATCTGCCAAATTATCGTGTTAGTTGATTTTTCTGTGGAAAGCTGTAAGCAAACTGAAGGCTGAATGTATGGAATCAGTATGGTTAAGTATCAGATTCTGGCCAGTGTTGCATCTTAACTCAGTGTTCCATGCTGCATTTTCCTGTAGACTCCATTAGTTTTTTTTTAAAAAAAGAGAACATTTATGCAAATCACTGGGCTATACTTACAGATAAGTCAGCGTCTTCAAGTCTTTTTTTTTCTTGCTTTAGGACGGATTCCAAAACCTTATAATAAAGGACCTCAGCGAGACGGAAGTGTTTACCAACAAGATCTGAAATAATCATGTAACATAAAATAAGCACTGTTTTCCCATAATAACATTTAAAAAAAGAACAGAAAACTTTCAGGGGTTATTAACTACCAGTAAAATAATCATTAAACACACACACGTGTGGATCCCTTCTCCCTCAGAACTGGTTTCTTGAAACATGAACTATTTTAAGGTCTCTTGAAATGAACATTAATTAAGAATGAGCTTGTAAAGAAACAGAATTCCTTTTATACATCATACCTCATAAACGCTAAGAAATGATATTGTAAACTTCCCAGAGTTACCCTGTGCTAAGTTGTGCGGCCAATAAATTTGATAAATAATAGTAAATGATCATTCTTATATTGTGCTAAAATGTAAGAATATACCAAGTAAAAATGTTAAATTAAATAGTTAGTTTAATACTAAAATTTTGGGAACACAAAACAAAAAGCAAAAACGCTTTTTACACATTCTCACCTTTGGGGAAATTCCCAGATTCTCCAGAAGATGGTGCCTTTTGCGAATAAATTTCATACATTTCTTTCACTCTATTGGTAATGGAGAGAGAAGGATCCCTGGAACACCCCCTGTCAACGAACAAGTGAATAATGTAGATTTGCCACTTTTGAAAGAAAACATCTTTGTGTGTATGTAGTTTTATATAGGAGGCTTTTAAAAACAATCCCTTTATCCAAGCATTTATCACTAAAAGAAATTAAAACCCGTGCTTAAGTTTCAAAGGTTTAACTTTGTATAATGATGCAGTGTTCACAAATTGATTTATTACACACACGTCACTAAAGAACACAGTCCACTTTTGGGATTTAAAAAAAAAACATTTAAAATCACATGGAATTCTTAAAAAGAGTGCCACTTCACCAACTAAATCCTGTTTAAATTTCAGCCGCCTGCCCAAATTTGAATCGTCATGTAGCCACCAATTTGGGAAGTGCAAAGAGGGGGATTCTACTGACCTCAGAATTTGCTCCAGATTCTCACTAGGGGCGTTCTTCAGCCCTGCCAACATTGTGTGAAGCCGTGTCAAGCAGTGGGTCGCGATGGAAATGGGGCTCAAGTAAGGATCGCTATCCTTGATATATTTCCGGCCAGTGAGAGGCGTAGATATTCTGAAAGATTTTGTCTAATCAAAAGATACAGAGACGAAAGGCATTTCAAGAAAGTTCCTGTACTTTCAACCAAAATTTCGATTCAGAAAATCACCTTTTTAAAAAAAAATTGATTTATATGCCGCCCTTCTCCGGAGACTCAGGGCGGCTTACAACGCGCTAAGCAATAGCCTTCATACTTTGTATATTTATACAAAGTCAGCTTATTGCCCCCACAAACTGGGTCCTCAATTTACCCACCTTAGAAAGGATGGAAGGCTGAGTCGACCTTGAGCCTGGTGAGAATTGAACTCGCAGTAATTGCAGGCAGCTGGATGTTAAATGCTGCCTTAGTAGGAGGCATTAGCCTCCTACGCCACTCAGGCTCTTCATCAACTCCAACAACGCTTATCCCTGGTTATGCCTTCTTTGGACTGAAATCTGCCTCTTCTTCTAACCCATAGTCTCCCTATTAAGATATCTATACAGAACAATGCCCCTATAAAGTGCATAAGAAAAAGAACAAGTACAGGGTCAGAGATAAACTGTTGGCATTTTCTGATAATCTGGGGTGAGACAGGGCACTATGATTGCTTTAAAGGGACACGGCAATTAACTGACAGACCACTAGCTCTTAATCAGGATGCGAGTCTGAGAAGTGATAAGTTAAGCTAATTAAACTTGGAGGGAATCCTTGGTGGTCTCTGGGTTTAGTTGTTTTCTTGCAGACATTACCCAAATACCTAGTTTGGATAATGAAACTTCTGCAAGAAAACAAGCAAGCTGAGAGAGCACCAAGGACCCGCTCATGTCAACCGTGAGCTACCAAGATTTACCCCACATTGGTAATTAAACTTTAAATTTTAATAACCTATATTAAATGAAATAATGGAATGTCTGTCAAGAGATAAACATCCTCTTTAGAATAAGAGAGTTTTTTCGTTCTGTCCCCTTGGATAGATCCTAGATTCTGTTTGATAGAACTTGAAATGAGGCTGATCATCATGGAGCTAACTTCAGAACAGACCATGTTTAGACTCACCCGTTCAAAGTGTTCCTGCAGATTATATTTCATCTGTACCCTTTCGGCTGTTTCCATCTCTGAAGCTGTGTTTAAACACCTCCGCAGGGTTCCGATTTCCTCGTCAGCATCTTCTCCAAGAAAGATCCTCTCATCTAGATTTCCAACTGACAGTATGTATTCCTCGTAGGCCTTGTTGATGGCCTTACTGGAATGAAGAATGGAAGAAAGGCTGATCGAAGTATAAATGCTTGCAAACGATCGCTAAACATTTTTATAAGTTTTCATAAAATTGTGAAACCCAACCTGAATCTTAAGAGACTTAGAAGCTATAGACTGGTGGATCCTTTATACCCAGAAAATCCTGAAATTAGTAGTACCATTGTTTTATGGTACTTACAAGCTTTCTGCAAAGTTTCCAGGATCCAAAAAACCTGTCAGGTTCTCCTCTTTTCCTTTTAGGATCTACAAAAAAAAAAAGGTATTCAAGTTAACCATCAATAATGGAGCTATAGTGATTCTGAAGATCGGTTAGAATTGTTATCCAATGACATACCTTTTTCTCAAAGAGTTTTTTCACATAGGGCTTCCAGAAATGTTCTTTTATTCCCTTGGCTTCCAAAACCAAGCCATTGTGCAAGGAGCAAAGTTTGTCAATGATGCAAGGAGCTTCAGACAAGAGCTTAAAATCCTTACTGTGAAAATCTTCAGGCAGCCCTTTGTAATGATTAAGTGGGTGAGAGAAAGAGAAATAAAAAAACATTTTTCCACCTTCCTTAATGGACAAATGGGAAAGGAAAAAAAACCCAACTCCCCAAACAAACAATTTCCTGTTGTATGTACAATCTGTTGTTCTTTTAAAAGTATGAAGTGATTTTCTTGCTCTTCAATTTTCATCAGGCCAATTAGTTAAGTCTGAATATGAATAATTTTCCTCTATGGCATATTATGATTTTCTTTTTAATAAATGACTGGATGTCACAAGAGAGCAAATGGGTGAACCATTTAGCACAATATTTATACATGCTAGCCACATTTTAAGGTTTAAGTTAATTAAAGATAAATCATAATACTCGGAAAGCAGTATAATAAAAAAAAGTATTAAATTTACCCTTAAAACTTGGATTCAGAATCTCCTTACGATTTGGGCACTGCAAAGAATTCCCATAGACTAGATCAAGGACGCACAGTAACAGATGGTATGAATTTACCAGATCATCACTGATCATAGGGAAATTGCCTGTGAAATTCAATATGGAAACAGATAACAGAATTCAGAAAATTTATTTTTAATCTAAATTAATAAATTTGTACCCCACATTCTTTAACAATAACCAGATGAAATCTTGAGAACATATGCCTATATATCAAATAAATTAATTCTTTAGTTTGTGGTTTGTTTCAGACTTGCTGTAAAAATTTATTAAAATGCTAGGATGAATATGATGATGAAATCCACAAATATTCAGTTATCCGCTGATCTTGAAATAGAGAGAGGAGAGCATTAATACGGTAAATCTGAACAAAGCCATATTCTTTAAGAATTATTTTCATTTAACCAAAGTTAAACATCAGAAAGTAATGTTTCTTAGCTTCAAATGAAGTCTTTCACTTCTTAAGTGAGCCTATTTCCATTTGAAATAAATAATCAAACTAAAGTATCACATCTATTTAATAATAGTTTTAAATAGCATGTGTTATAAATTTAGACAAGCAGAAGATAATTATTTAAAAGGGGGAAAGTAAGAATACAAAATTAATAGTCGATGCTGCTAAAAATCGGTTTACCGGATATTAGCATTTGTCCTACGTACCGTGTGCCTTCATGGGGAAAGCAATCTGAATTACAAGCAGGCAAGAGATCTGCAGATTTTCCACGCAGGAAAAAGAAACCTATGTTGCTATTCTTTAAGTTAGAAAGCCTATCACTTAAACAAGCCCAAACCAGCCCTTTGAAGTATGGTTGCTATGAAAAAGAGAGCAGGAACCACCTCCCCCAACAAAAAGAAACGGAAACAAATTGTGTCTGTGTGTATTTTGAATTCCTGGGCTTACAAGTAACAAAGGTCACTTTTCTCATTTTAAGGCTCTGCATATTTATATAAGGTGGGTTTGTGTTGTGTATTGCATTGTATTGTATTGTAAACAGACAAAAAGTTAGTTCTATACTTCTCACTTACAGAAACCTCTACCATAAATTTTTGTGTGGTTCTATGCCTTTAAGTCAGTGCTGACTTCTGGCAACTCTCTTAATACTGTTTAGCAGATGGGATTTCTTTCTTAACTGAAGGAAAGGGTTTTTTCTAACTGTGCATTGATATGTTGTGTTCGACACAACTGGAACATATTTTACTGGTATGAACTTTCACAAAACCTTATTGAACTGTTTTTTCCAAATATTTTAAAATAAAAGGCTTGAAATTTTATGTTTAAAACGTCTAGGAAACTGCTTTGCAACATTATGTGAAGTGTTTCTTTTCTAATACTTACCACTGAAAACTTAGAAAAAAGCCCACAGAATTTGTCAGCATAACAATTTGCAACTGGTGTAAGCCTGTCCTATAAAATCGTAGAAACATTTTATGCTGAAGAAATCCTGTGCTCGTCATAAAAAATCGAGATGCTCATTTAACACTAAAAAGATCTTTTACTAATTTATCAAATATACGTATCTATCCTATTCCAAAAGATGCCCTGACTCAATCTTTCTGAAAGCAAGGCAGAAATATAATGAGCTGGTTGTTACCCAGCATCATTACTGCTTTTACATTCTAATCAATGGGGAGAAAAAAACATTCTTACCTTTTGCATAAACAAAGAGAACCCAGGAAAACTGGAAAACTTCAGAGACAGTGCAAGGCTGCCTCCTTTTTAGAAATGTAGCCATGAAAAAGAAACAAATGTATTATGTTTCAATTATCTAATAAAATGTTTCAAAATGTACACCCCAGAAGATGCTTATTTATATACATTCAGGCTGGACCACGGAAGTGGTATACATGCCTATTTCCTCTTTAATTTGACAGCTTGGAACTTTTAGGCTAAAAAAAAATGAACTATTGGTGCAGATATTATAGCTCTTGTATTTATTAAATAAAGCAATGATAATCGGCCCTTAATGAGCATATAATTTTACCTTATCAGTTACAAGCCTAGTAAGCAGAGTGATCAGTGGAAATATGAATTAGTCGGGTGAAGTTCAAAATTTTTCCCTACCGGTTCTGTGGGAGTGGCTTGGTGGGCATGGCAGGGGAAGGATACTGCAAAATCCCCATTCCCTCCCCACTCCAGGGGAAGGATACTGCAAAATCCCCATTCCCTCCCCATTCCTGGGGGAAGGATATTGCAAAATCTCCATTCCCATCCTACTCTGGGGCCAGCCAGAGGTGGTATTTGCTGGTTCTCAAAACTACTCAAAATTACGCTACTGGTTCTCCAGAACCTGTCAGAACCTGTTGACTGGAATTAGTATAGATTAACTCAGCAAGGACATTTCCTACGAAAACAGTTACAAAGGAGACGCAGACTATGAATTGCTAATATAGTTACAAATATCCCAAATCAGAAAGAACAGGTTTGAAACTGAAACAAAGTCTTAAAACTGTAATTTCTGGAATATGTCAAGAAAACACAGGTAATAAATAGGTGGTCCTCCATTTATGACCACAACTGAAAATTGCACTTTAATCAGCCTCGAGTAGTTAATAAAGAATTAAGTGAAGAACTCGGTCATACTTAAAGAACCAGGCGTGTAAATCTCCTTGGGAGAATTTTGAGCTAACAACATGAATACATACCTTTGTTTTCTCCCTCTGGGCTGTCGTGGTTGGTCATCTTGTGGGTACTTGAAAATATCCTGAAAAATGGGTTCATACTTCTTAAATATTACAGCAGAAACTGTAAAGTTTCTTTCTAATCTTGTGGTACGTTCTCTGAACTGGGAGGGTAGGTCTGCCATATCTTCCCATTTCTTCATCTTGTTAAAAAACTCTATCAAACTGAAGACATTTGCGATGGTCAGAAATTTAAACTTAGGAAACGATTACATTCCAAAACATTTTGTTGAACACCGATCCTAATTTATGTCTCTTCACGCATCTATTACTTCTGGTGAACAAGAATAAGGGTACAGGTAGTCTTCCTTGATTCCCAACAGTTCATTTAGTGACCGTTTGAAGTTTCAACGGTACTGAAAAAAGTGAGTTACATCCATTTTTCATACAACTGTTGCAGCATCCCCAAGGTCACGTGATCAAAATTCAGACTCTTGGCAACTGACTCATATTTATGACCGTTGCACTGTCCTGTGATCCCCTTTTGTGATTATCTGAGAAGTCAAGTCAACGGGGAACCCAGACTGACTTAACAAACGGGTTACTACCGTATTTTTCGGACTATAAGAACGCACTGGTGTATAAGACGCACCAAGATTTCGAAGAGGTAAGCAAGAAAAAAAAAGTCTTTGCCCACTCCAGCCACCAGGAGCACTCTGCGGGCCTCCCAAAGCCTCCGCGCGCCCCGTTTTTGCAAAAAATGGGAGGCCAAAAATGGCTGTATTCAGTGTATAAGACGCACAAACATTTCCACCCTCTTTTAGGGGGGTAAAAGTGCGTCTTATACTCCGAAAAGTATGGTAACTCAAGAACTGCAGTGATTCACTTAACAATTGTTGCAAGAAAGTTTGTAAAATGGGGCAAGATTCACTTAACAAATGTCTCACTTAGCAACAGAAATACTGGGCTCAATTGCGGTCGCAAATCAAGGATTATCTGTATGGAATTAAAGTGCTCTCTAACCATCAGGAAGTATGTGTTAAGGTATGACAAGATTTCATTAGTAACTATAGCAATTTACACATTAAAATATGATGTTCTGCAGCAGACTTTCTAAACTTGACAATCTCAGCACTTCATAACATTTTAGAAGAGAAGTTACCTTTGTCCTGAACAACGCAGTATTCTGATTAAAGACACATAATTTCCTTCAACAGTCCCTCTGCTAACTGTTGGGACGGCTTTCCTGCAAGCCACATATAACGAACATGCTAACCAGTGCAGATCATTCCCCTGTTAATTGAGAACAGTAAAATAAATTTACCCATCTCCGAAGTCAAACAACTGCAAGAAATTCGTTCCTGACTGGGAATTAGCTATGTTAATTAATTAACTAACTATTAGCTTATTATAAACATATTTTAAAAGTTTGCTCAGTTCATAATAAACAATTATCATATTCTATTGGAAGAGGAAAGCTGATCCACGGAAATGTCTATGGAGATTTTCAGTCTTAAGAAACGTCTTCAAAGAAAAACCAGAAAGTCCAGTTGCCTCTTGAAAAAAACACCTTTGATCCAGGGGAACAGAAAGTGAGTAACACCTTGGCCTATACAGAAACTGTGGTGGGACTTTGTGAGCTCCAGTTTACACATTCAGAAAGGATTTACAAGGCTCACATTCACATATGTGTAGATTACTTTTGCAATAAGCAATCTGGTTTAAATCTATTCCAACTTAACTGATGTAATGGTCACTGACTGTCTCTAAATTCTACAATTATATTTCCAATGAAATAAATATTTGAAGTTTAAGGATTGCTTAAAGCATAGTTTTCTTTGTTTAATCCATGTTTTTCCAGCCTGTAGTGTGTTATTACTCTCTTACTACTGAGAATTTCTATGCTATATCAAAGTAACTTCAGGTTCAAAATAATAAAAGTCTGGATTAATTAACAATGTACTTAAAAGAGAGACGGATGAAGATTTCAGGAAGGTTACACAATGACAAGCCATGAATTCAGACAGCCATTCCTACAGGTAAATTGCAGTGGCAATGCAGCCAACTCAAAAAACCAAAATATTCATACTGGTCCACCAAGAAATGTACTAGTTTTATTTTGTTTATTCATCACAACAATAAAATTCATCAAGTGGCCAAATGTAGAGTGGCATTTACCAAACAGTACTATAATTTAATAGTGATACATCAACTTAACCCACAAAGCAGAGAGAAAAGTCCTTGCCTGTCATATAGATCCAGTATTTAATTAGGCAAATAACAGGCAAACAGCTTCTTTCTGATCAGGTGCATCTTTTGGAAGACTGTAATTACAGTTTTCTGAACACATAACTGCAGACTATGTGCTTCCACAACTGGGTGTATGACTGATTTGTAACTCTTACCAAAGCTATTATGTAAGCTTTAAACCCTCAGGCTAAAATCCATCACTGCTCACTGATTACATGTTTCTTTATACATCCTTCCTCTTTTCAACACTGAAGGCCTTTATTTTGTTCATTACTCCTGTCTCTTTGCTGCTTTTCAACTGTCTATTAGATGTATTGGAGGTATGATTTGCTAAGGGAAGCATTTATTCATTTCAATTTACAATATAGGGTATGATTAAGCAATATTCTCCATGATCACAACAATAAAACTGATAAAAAAATATAAATCAAACCCCAGTGGCTCAATCATCCCCTTGCGATATACCACAACCAACTCCAGACACCCTCAGTCTACACCAGCAACTTTGGTGTTTGATAGGACTCCTGAGAGGACCATGGACAGCCAAGAAAACAAACAGATGGATCATCGAATAAATCAATGCGATTCATTGAGTTTTTCAACCGCTGGTAGGCCAACCATGGATAAATCCAAGAAAAGAAAAGCTTCAGAAGAAAACAGAACGTTTAATTCAACTACATATACTAGTTTTGTGGCCACTCAAGAAATACATGGGAAGGGTTTTGTGGCTCCCGGTGTTTTCTTTTCTGGGGGAAACGGGTCCAAATGGCTCTTTGAGGGTTTAAGGTTGCAGACCCCTGGTCTAGATGACCTCCAAGGTCCCCTTCCAACTCTGTTACAGTTCACCTGACTCGCTTATCCACTGCAGTGACCCACTTAACAAACTGGAGCGCAAGGGGGCAAAACTCACTTCCACCCATGTCTCACTTTACAAACATTATGGCCGTAAGGCGAGGACCAGCTGTAAAATACAAAAGAAATTGTGCCAGCCAATGGTAGGCATCCTGGAGCGCGCCTCCCCCCCCCCCAAAAAAGAAGAAATAAGGGCGCTGCGATGCTTTGCTGCCCCCTGGCGGTGGCCGGCCGATCAACCAGCCTGCCGCGCAAGCCCCGCCCCCCTCCACAGGCCCCGCCTCCGGCCCCACCTCCAGGGTGTAGTTCCTCCTCATACTCTGGTAGCTGAGCCAGGCCTCGGCTCGGGCTCGCTCGTCCATGTTGAGGCTGCTGCACAGCTCCTCGTAACGCTGCCGGGTGGCTCGCTCCGCCTCGGCCGCCGCCGCTTCTTCTTCCTCCTCCTCCTCTTCTTCCTCCGCTTCCTCCTCCTCCTCCTCCTCGTCCTTTTTTACCTCAGCGTCGCGGGCAGCGGGGGCGGCCAAGGCCGGCGCCTCGGCCTCAGCTGCGGGAGAGGCCGCGGAGACCGGGGCGCCCCCTCCGGCCGCGGCCTGGCCGCTCTCCTCGCCGCCCAGCATCGCCCGCCTCTGAGGGGAAAAAAAAAAAAAAAAAGGCAGACGGGAGGATGGTGGAGGGGAAGGGCTCGCGCGACCAGGCCCGCACTGCGCCTGCGCCGCGGCTTGTTTGTGTGCGTGCGGGGGAAGGGGGGGGAAAGAGCGCGGTTCCCGCCTCCTTCGTCGCCGCCGGCCCCGCCCCTCGCGGCCTCTCCCATTGGGTGGGTGAGGGAGGAGTTCGAACCAATCAGTGGGGTCCTGTTCAGTGGCGTTACTGTTCGGAGGCGGGGCGTAGGAGAGCTTTGGGTCTCCCGGGGAATTCTGGGAGTTGAAGTCCACACCTTCAAAGATGCTTTGGAAGGAACGCCTCTTGTTATAAAGCTTAACCGTGATTGGATGTAGCTTTCAAGGTGGGCTCCTCCCACACCTGCATCAAAAGCTGCTGGCATCTCTCAGAAGCCATGCAGTACAAGCAATCACTCAGGTGAGGTTAAATCCACTTCCCCACCAATGACTGAAAGGATGCTATTACAGGTAGTCGTCTGATTTGCAGCAGTTCATTTAGTGACCGAAGTTACAACAGCACTAAAAAGTAACTTGTGGCCGTTTTTCACACTTACGACCATTGCAGGATTCCCAAGGTCATGTGATTCACATTCCAATGCTTGACCACGGGTTCATATTTATGACGGCTGCAAATGTCCCGGGGTTATGTGATCATCTTTTGTGACCTGATAAAGTCAATGGGAAAATCAGATTCGCTTAACAACGGTGTTACTAAGTGAACAACTGCAACAATCCAATGTGGCAGGAAAAGTTGTAAAATGGGGCAAAACTCACTTAACAAATGTGTCACTTAGCAACATAAATTTTGGCCTCAATTGTGGTCCTTAAGAAGATTACCTGTATATTTAGACGTATTGAAAATATCTACTAGAATTGTCCTCTACCTGGTGTAGCCAGAACAGGGTGCTTTAATACAGAGATGGGAATATTTTGCCCCTATGGGTTGCAGTCATGTAACAGATGGTACAACTGCATATTTATTTATCTACAAAAGGAAACTTACGTACTACATCTGTCTCACCCTTGTCCTGAAATTATGCTCCAGGCAGGAAACTTTGAGTGAAGGAATCCTTGAGCAGCATCATGATGTCCATTAGTCTAATTTAATACAAGAGGTAAAGCTGATTTTCCTAACATGTAAGTTCACCAAATGTTCAGTCTCCCAGATATCCTTAACTCGGATTTTTCAGCCCCAGTGGATGTACCCAGTGTAAAGGCAGTTATCCTGGGAGTTGTAAAATCTAGATATTGGAGTAAAAAATAATAATAATCAGATGTTGCCCATCTGATTTTCATGATCACTTAATTATTTTCAATGTATTTCTGGACATTTTTTAGACAAGTGTTCCCTCTAGCTAAATCTCAAGCATGCAACTGGAAACTCACAGAACATACACCTTTTGAAGGGACCCGTCATGTATTTGCAATCCTGGTTTGTCAAGAACTTCCTCCAATAATTCATGGGTTGAACGAAGGTTAATGCCTTCAAAATGAATGCAGCATTATCTTGTTGTCGATTTTTGTTACGGTGTGACAACTAAGGTGTGTCACAAAAAGGTATTTTCAATGTAGTGAGACCAACATCATAGGTTGTCAAAGAATATGTTTAATAAAAAATAATTAAACTTCCATTTGCTCTATAGAACATCATAGAAAGTAATTCAATAAATTACAAATAACTTTTAAGACGCTTGTTCAACTACAAGAAAGCAAATTCAGACTACACAGAACACAACTGGCAAATATTGCAAAATGTTCAAGGAAAATAAAACAGGACTAAGACGGATCATGAAGCCCGAAACAAAGAATAGGAATACAAGGCAATAACAACTAAAGTTATTTTAGTCACTACCAACATACACTTCTTCACCATCCTGGATATTTGTACTGAAATTTCAGTATTAATGTAATTCTAATGAAGATTCTTAACGATTCGTTATGCAGCCACACTTGCATATTGTTTTAGCTGACAAGAGTGCGTACTTCTCTTCTTGCAACTGATACTGATTTAAAAACAATCTTTACTTCGTATTCATACTGCTGAAACTGTAAAATTGCCTTATTGTAGACAAAGATCACTAGAATGGTAAGCAAATTCACTTCACCATAATTAGGAAAATACTTTATTTCATAAATTTATTAAAAATTATGCTTAGGGTTTTCTTTCAGGGGCAGGTATGTTGGGGGGGATGGTACAAAGTGGTATTGTTGAAATACTCATTGACTAAGTCAACAATTGTGTTTGGAAAACTTTGGCTATATTGTGGATAACATACAAGAAACAAAAGTGCTATATTACAAAGGGAGAAATATTAAATATGTAGTAATCATGATGAAAAATTGCTACCCCTTTCCTCGTGACATGTTTTGACTATTGCTAAGACACTGTATGAAGGACCAAACAAGTCGTACTATTCTGAGGGGGAAATACAATAACCAGCACAATTCAAATGATGCTTTTATACCTGTGTAAATTACATGTAATACTGCCTTCTACCCAAGGGAGTTATGATTTTGCATGTACAAATTTTGTTTTTATTGATAAAGATTTGGTAAAAAAAACAACACGGTCTTGTTTACTGTACAAGCAAGCATATAGAACCATATCAAAATACAGCTTTTGTTAAATTATTCCCTTTTGAAGAGGTTTGTCATTGACTATACTGCCAGTACGTTTTATTCATTGTCAACGTTTTGTTTTTTTTTTTGCCTATTTTGGACCTCAAATGAGATTAACACAATCTCACACTTCATCTCAGTCAGTTCCACCATGTGGTGTGAATCTATGATTCTACCATGTCAGAGTAATAGCAGCTTCAGCAAAAATAATAAAAATAATAATAATAAATCCTACCACACTTCAAATGTTAAGATTAATTCTACTTAGTAAGGTTCTAAGGATTTATATTCAAACAGATGCTTTTAAGCACTGTTTATATCATGGTTTCATGGTATACTTTTCTCACATTATCATTAAAAGTGCTTTAAAAGTTACAGGGCAACTCAGCATTATTATAATTATCCAATATACCCTAAACCTTGATTTGGGGGTTGGGGGGAAGAAATGAACGAAAATATATATATGTGTGTGTGTGTGTACACATACATATATATATATGTATACATGCATATATATATGCATGTATATGTGTATATATGTATGTATGTATATGTATATGCATATACATATATATTTCTCAAGCCTGTAAAAACGTGAGATTTTTAAAATGTCTACATTTCCCCTTACCATTATGAACTGGTAACTACAAGAGGTTACATGACAAAGACGAAATAGAAACCTGGACAAACAAAGCGAACAGTATTAACTTTGCAAGGATTCTAATCTTTGCACGTGAAGTATGCAGTGTTCAGAGTGGCACTTGCGAGTTATTTCAATGTGGATACAGCGCCTCAACAACATGAAGGCTGCAGATGGAGCGAAACTTAAAATCAGTACCCTATGGTGCTGAAGACAGGAAAGGGATAATTTAAATAAAAGTTTTCCCTTTGCTAGAAGTAAAAAGAGTGCAACTGGTAACGATAAAACTTCCCTTGCCAAATTTTAACACACACAGGAGGCTTTTTAAAAAGCGAAGCATATAGGAAAACAAGCAGAGAAACCAATGTAAACTTTCTAAACTAACTCAGCTGAGGTAACAAGTAGCCAATTTCATTGGCTGAATGGGAAACTTTTTTTTTTTATTTCAAACACAGTGGTACCTGAACTGGGAACATCAACAGTGCATTATAACACCAGATCATTTCCATAGAATTAAAGCAATGGATGGTGATGTAGATTCTACAGCTTTCATGACATTCATTAGCTGCCCAAATTATTGCTGAGTTTTGATCTGTAAATTATAAGTGTCAAGGAGGCTGTAAAACTATATTCAGATTAAATCAATAATGCGCATAAAGAACTGTGTTCACCGCAAATATATTAAATATACAGCTCTTACTAAGCTTTCTTTTAAAAAAATTACTCCCCCCCAACCCGAAATTATAATGCCTTTTCCTGTAATTTTTGTTTTTTGTTTTTACACCATTGTGTATATTTTGATAGTACACAGAATTTCAGGAACTAAAGGAACCTCAAGAAATATTACATGCAAAATGTTTTTTTTTTTTTTGAAAGCAGTTTGCACTTCTAAACAATACTGAAATGTTCGGTCAGTAAATTACTGATGCACTCACGCAACACTGTGTTATTTACAACAAAATAATGAAAGAACAACTTGAAAACCAGTTTATAATTTAAGTGCAGAGTCTGGGGCGGGGGGGGGGGGAGGGAAATCAGTCTTCATCGCTGGAGTCTGAGTCCTCCGACGAGGAGGATGTACTGTCACAGCCAGAAGAAGCGTCTGCCTTCTCCGAAGCTTCGTCTGTGCTGTTTCCGTTGCGAGAGCTCGGCTCGGTTTCCCCCTTGCCGCCTTCTTCATCCGGAACCCTGGAATTTTCTTCCTTTTCTCCCAGAGGCTTGGTGAAGCCTGTGCCATGATTTTCACTGTTCTGTACATCAAAAATATTCGATTGGGACAAAGCTGGGATATGGAGATTAAGGCCTGGCGTGAGAAGCATTCCTGGGTAAAGTATATTGGACAAGAGTAAAGGGTTAAGAGCTAAGGAGCTGGCCGTGGTGCTGGCCGAGGAGGTTGAAGGAGAACCCGAGACGGAGTTTTCTCCACCATTATGTGCATGTGAGCTTTCTGTCCTCTCTTTCTTTCCGTCCAGCTCTCTGGGGTCCTGTCCTTTCCTCTCCTCGGAAGCAGGTTCAGTAGACTTGGTTAGGAGTCCTCGCATGCCGAGCAAATTTGGTAAACCAGCCATTCCTGAAAGTAACATGGGAAAGACGGCGGCCATGTTTTTCGCATCGCCCGCCGTGTTCAGACCGGCAGATATTCCCATTAAACCCGTGGTCACCTGTAATGACTGAAAGTTTTGCAGGTTTTGCTGTAAGGCCTGCAGGGTTGAGAGATCCACCCCCGGGAGTAGCCCGTTGGTCAGCAAAGGGGCGACGGGAACGTTTGCTGC